AGGTGTGAAACGTGCACATTCAAAATATCCCACTAAATAACTTGGACTTTTGTTGACAGCTGCTAGGCCTTTTGAACTTACTGTCTTAAAAAATGTGATTGGATCAACTGGATTAAGGGTATTTTAAACTTCAATTTCTTTTTTCCTACAAAACTAAGTTATTATCTAAAAAAACTATTCCAAGCCTTCTAAAGGTTTGGGATACATTCATAGGTAGACTGCTGGTTACAAATCAACTACCTGGAATCTTACTTAAAGAACTATGAATATAACCCTGAATGCATTAAATGTTTAAAATATAGACTGAGAAAATAACACAGTTCATCAAGTGAATTACTGGGCCTAAAACATATTGATCAAGTCTTAAATTCCTTATTACTAGGCTGAACACATTAGCTGCCGAGTATTTTATCAGTTTAGCTTTTGCAAACAGCCATTGATCAAGAAGAAGTCATGTCACCCAAGTGTGAAGGAAAGTCCATATTGTCCCCTTTCTGGATGCTCCCCTACCATGTAAATAATAGATGTACTGCACTTCTTGAAAAGGTGTGGTCTAATGCCCCTGAAATGTGTACCAGGCCTAGTCATCTGTCCAAAAGTACACCACTGAAAACCCAACAGGCTGCAATAAAGACAAAATCAAACTGAACTACTGGACACCTTTCCAATTTAGTTAAGTTTCTAGTGAGCCAAGTTCTTGAGAATAATGATTATTTAACTTCTAGTTCCAATCCTAAAAACTCATATGCTTACTATATTACTTAGCAAAAAACAAATAAACAACAACAGCAAATCCTCATTATTACCAGTAGGTACTAGGAACTTTACATACTAAAAAAGGTAAAATTCTATTTGTAAGAGGGCCACCTAGTCCTCCCATTTTGGATGGGACTATCATTTCCCTGCCTTTGTGGCTTGACCATAGGGGCCACATGACAGGCTTTTCTGAGACACACAGAGCACATGAAGAACATTCAATACACAGATCAGGTTCCCAAGGAAAAAAACCACATATAGCCCAAGCCCAGGGCATAGTTAGCAGGACAGAGAGAATATTAATGTGATCAAATGGAAAGAAAGGCCGTAAAGCAGAACTACAGGATCGAGTGCTATGCTTCCTAAAGCATCAAGCATGTCAGGAGTGCTGACCTAGCGTCTTGAGGCAAGTTTGGTAGCCTGGAGAGGATAACCCCTTCCCTTTGCTCAGAATATGTGAGCAGAAGATGATATTCAAGGTTAGGCAATGTGCTTCTTATTCTGCACAAATGGCCCCAACTGGGGACAGGATAAATTCAGACTCAAGCAGCTGGCACCACTTTGCCTTGTAGCCAGATTTTCCCCTTTCTCCCCAGAACACCCCATCTGCAGTTCTTGTTCCCTCCTGCTAAGGACCAATGGTCCCAGGAGAAAATCCAGCTCATGCCAGCCCAGTATGCTCTGATGATATGTCCATGGACTCCCCTGCTCACCCTATCACTGAGGACCCTCTGTAGGACACTGTGACACAGTGGCCTCTGTCTTTACTTGCTTCCTCCTTCTCTGGTTCATTTCCGGATCTCTAGCTAAGGATAAAATCCCAGTTATTACAGGGGTTTTCAACCAGGACATTATCTATGGAAGCCCATCCCCAAAGCCAGGGGCTGCTTAGATGACAGAACACTGGAAAGGAAAGAGCAAGGATCCTTGGCTACTTCTCTTCCCTGATTTGGCCCCCTGTAAACCTACAGGGCTGGGACAGTGCCTCTCATGGGCAGGGACAATGAGACCAGGCCTTATTTACAAGTCTTCCACAAAGCTTGGAGCAAAAAAGTAAAATAAAAATAGCAGTTCTCTGGATGCCCCAAAAGTGGATGTTACATGAAATCTGTGGACAGAAACACAGGCAGAGGCCCTGTGATCCAATCACCACCATCACAGATGCATATCAGGACTCTAGGAGTCTCCCAACTCACAGAGCACGTGATAGCAGCAAATGAAACCTTTACCCAGTGGCAAAAGGCCCACCCAAGCTCCCAGAAGGTGGTGGATAGAAATCACCCACCTTCCAGCCAGTAGCAACCAAATGTGCCACCTGGAGCTAAAGGAAGCACCTTGCAGCACAGAGTAGGGGTAGTAGTGGGGGCAGTCTGAAGCCCTGAGAACTGCACAAACCCCCAAACTCTCCCTGTTCCCAGCCACACCAAACAGATACCACTCCTTACACTCCATTCTGATGTCAAGGCCCCACAGGGCCACTGCAGGGCCTGGGTGAGGGGTCAGCAAAGAAAAGCCACTCAGAGAAAAGGTATGCCTGCCCTCCTGTTCTGCACCCCAACCAGAAGGTCCCACAGAGCCAGGGCTCAACGCTCCTTTGGCCAGGCCAAAAGAATTAAGCCAGTGCACAAAAGAAAACCAACCACCCAGAGGAAATGAAAAACCAAACAGGGAAGTTGGGGTTTAGTGTTTGGCACTGGGTAGAATTAGTGATCTGATTATTCCTGCAGTGAATTAGCTACATTAGTGGTTTATTTGTTTCTTCTGAGGGTGAAAAGTGGAGATGCCCCCACTGCCTGAGGAAAAAGCTAAAAAAAGTAGATATGGCACTTTTCAATAAATATTTTAAAGCTTCTTAAAGAAATAAGTGGAAAAGAAAAGCAACTGCTGTAAGGCCTGTTTGCTGTTAAAAATTATTCCAAGGGAAAAAAATTACCACAGCACAAAATAAAACAGGAAAAAAAAAAAGACATAGCTTACCAAAACAAAAAGAAAACCATCTGTCCCAGTGACCACTTGGCCAATCCACATTTTGACCCATGAAGCAAAAACTGAGCTTGGACAGGGAAGTAAATTGGCCTCCCACAGCATCCCGTACCCACTCAGAGAAAAGGACACCCACAAGCAGAAGGCCCAGATGCCACACACAGCAACTGAGTGGAGCAGGCACCCAAGTGTGAGCTGGTCCATCACACTCAGACTCCCACACCCTCTACCCCAGACAAGCAGCTCTGGCAACTGCCCTCAGGGCATAGTGTGTGGCCACTGGTGCTATTAATCCCCTCCAGTATTACTACTGCTCATCTACTGAAGGAATTAAATCTCAGGTAAAATTACCTCATGTGGGTATAAGGGTCACAGTTTTACAAGTTAAAGTGGGGTCATAGGTTATTCTGAACATCAACTAATCAAGTTATGGGAAACATCTGACCTTCCAAATAACCCAGGAGGTAGCAGCCCTCTTCAGTCTACCCAGGTCAACCTCTCTCCATCACCTGCCAACTCGCCTACTCTTGAGATTAAGAGACACACTGTTTTAAAATAAAATGATCTAAGGAAACCAGGAGGAGCCTTCACCAACAATAGTGATGAACGCCCAGACTCAGCCCAGCCAGCCAACCTATACTCGATGACAATTATTTACAAGGGGGCTTTATCAAACAAAAATGGTAGTACTCCCTAGAAGACAAACTTTTTTTCTTTTTCCTCTATTTCTTTTAAACATCCTTGTCATAAAAGTCAACTTACATTAAAATATACTTACTACAAGACAACACAACTAACAAAATATATAATAAAACTTACACAAGTAGAAAATTCTGAGGTATTTCTGGTTTGAGGTGGTCTGTGGTCGTGAAGTTTTAATTCTTTTACTTTTTTTAAAATTTAAACCTCGGAAGCCACATAGCAAAGCATGTGTGTATATGTGGATGTGTGTTTTGTCTGAAAAAAAAATTTAGCATGTTTTATAAATTAAAAATTTTCAAATGTTGAAACAGCAGCATTAGGAACATTCACTGATTAGAGCAAGGTTATGGCATAATAGAAAACGTTTTTTAGAATATGCACCACTTTAAGGGGTCTGGAGAAAGCCATGTCCACAAGCCACAGAATGGGGTCAGTAATGTCACCACATGGGGCTGAGCCAGAGCTGCAGGGCTTGCAAGGTCCCCAGAGAGACAGGCCGTCTTTGTGGGGCCCATCCAGGAATTCTCTTGCCCTAGCTGTGCAGGGCGCCCCCTAAGGGCATTTTCCTAAACTGCCCCAGGAGGAAACAATTTCAATATTTCCTCCATTAGAGATACTTACAAGCATCATATCGCATGAAGAATGTTCACTGAACTGTGATGATTTCTGCCTTCCACATAATCTTAAAATTGGGGCAGAAAAAATGTTTCATCTTAGGCCAAGCCCAGGTCAACAGAAAGAAACTGGTGGGACCAGCAGGTGGGTCAGAGCTGCCCCTGCTCTCAGACTTTCTCCAAACCCCGCACTTGCCCTTAATGTTCGGCCTCCACAAGGTCCTTGCCCTCAATTCCTGGTTACCTGAGAAGTAGCCTCCACAGCAAAGGATGTTGCTCCGAATGTGCCCAAGTCCAGTGTAGCTCTGTTCCAAACCCTACCCTAGCACCATCCTCCCCTTCCAACCCCAGTCCAAACTCCTCGTCCTCATCCCAGTTTTTACTTGATCAGGACAACACCCGTTAAATCCGTGAAAGACACATCTGCTGTTTCTTAAGCTCACTGCCTAAAAAGGGAGAAACAACAACAAAAAAATAATAAAGTGGTGGGGAGGAGGGGGTGAGGGCCAAGGAGAGAGGAAATGCCTCTTCTGAGGAAGGTATGTTCTTATGTAACAGTCTTCAAAGGTTCCTCGAGTAGAGTTTGCAGCATTAAGTTTCCTAAGACAGGAGATGGGTTTCTTTGTGTCACAGATTCTGAGACGACAAACAAAGAGAAAATGGGAAAAATGAATCCCAAAGGACAGGAGGTGGCTGAGGCTCTTCAGCATGGCGCTGGTTCTGCATTCACAGCTCAGCACCTCAACGCCTGCTGACGTGTCCGCTGTTTGCAATACAGTAGAGCAATATGCTGGTAAAAACTGATCCAATCCAAAAAATAATATTAATAATAATAATTATAATAATTATAATAATAATAAAAAGTCAAGGTAAAATAGCAGCTGCATTTTATGTGTTTGTTGGTTTTATGGGATTTCCAAAACAAAACACAACTTTTTTTTTTCCTTTTTTCTTCAGATCCAATGAGTCTGGAGAGACACTCATGTCCTGGGCTTAGATGCTGGACTCCTTAGGGGGCAGGTCCACATTAGTGACAGAGGTCACCAGTGAGACAAGACAGTCCGAGGTAGTGCCGTTGATCGACCTCCGGATCAGGGACACTCGCTCCTCCACGCAGCCTGCAGATAGGCGAGCTTCTGCATCATGGTCCCAGCACTCCTCAATGGTCACACAGAGCTGGGCCAGGCCCTGTACAACAGTGGGAGAATGAGAAAAGACACCTTGTTAAGACCTCTAAGTAAGGACAAGCATGGAAGACACCAAACTTGATGATGATCCCAAGGATCAGTCAAAGCCTATTGGCCAAACCACACCAGCAGGTCAATTAACAGGTGCCTAGTGGAAACTGCAGCAATCACCATGCTTGCCTTTCTGATAGCCACTACCCTGAGCCCACTGGCTTCCGTCAGCCCCAGAACATTGCTACTCCTCAGCTTACGAAGGTGAGGGATCCAGACCCCTCCTAGAGGAGATACAGCTGCTTACCTTGGAGCAGTGGTATTAAATCATATTTTATGCAAAGCCCAAACACAAAGGCCCAAAGTGTAACATATGAGTCATAGTGAGAACCAAGAAGAGGGCATCATTCTAGCTTACCCCGCACAGTCCCTGGAGCACCTTTCTAGGATCTAAAAAATGGACAAGCTTCCTCTTTGTCCCATTCTCCCTTGATCTCAGGCTCCTGCTATGCCCCATGGAATCCCTGCACTCAGACCCCTCACCGGGTGCTTTAGCCAGTGATCCTTAATGGTGGGTCGCATCTTCTTGTGAACAACCACCTCCTGCAGCTCTTCCAGCGAAGGGTGCTGGCCAATCTCCTCCTCAAAAGGCAGCATATACTCATCCACGGGTCCTGAAGGCAAGAGAGAACCTGGTTGGATGACATGGAGGCCCCTCAGCTCCCAACTCAGGATGCCCAAAGTTGCTATCCCACTCACCATCTGCAGCCTTGCAGCGAGACACAAGCTCCCACAGCACCAGCCCCATAGCATACATGTCAATGCGCAGGAAGGCGTCTCGCTGGAAGTTGATGGCTCCCTCAAGCACCTCAGGGGCCATGTACCGTCTGGTGCCTACCTGCATGAGAACAGAAAAGTGCAGGGTCTCCAGACACTAACCAAGCATAAATGCACACTCAGCCAGGGCACAGAAACCATAGCCTGTGTGCACCACAGCAGGATACCAAAGACAGCAAGCCCTGACTCACTGCATTCACAGCAGGGTCATGAACTGTACCTGCAGATGATTTTAAAATATAACACACTGGAGTCAGCAGTGGTAGAAAATGGAATTGCTTTCAAATTCCAACAGCAAGACCACAAGACATTTATATCAATGATGTGTACTTTCTGAGGTTTGAAACAAAAATAAAGCAAGAAGAGAATACTTAAGATCAAAATGGACTGCTATGGGATGATTTGCTAGGTTTAATTTTTTGGCTACTTTTTCTAGGTTCTTGGCTTAGAGTCTTAATACTTTTCTATTTTGTTTTTTGATTGATAATTATGACTGGGGGGAAAAAAAGATTGAGACCACAAGGACAAGTGGCCAAAACCTGAACAGGGAATCTAGGTTTCTTAGCTGACTGGCCTGGGGAAGCTTCACAAGCCACCAGGCCTTGGCTTCTTTACTGCTAACACAAGCTCTGTTCCCTGAGTTCTTAGCTCCAAAGTCATGCCCCTAGAAGTTGTCAGCTCAATCCCAGAGTATCCACCCTGGTTCAGCCCCCCCACTTCCCAGGCCCAGGCTCATTACCTGCCCATGGGTGTCCCCTGGAGGTTTCCCTGGCTCAAACCGAACAGCCAGGCCAAAGTCAGCCAGGACAGCTGTGAGGTCACTCTTCAGCAATACATTCTTGCTTTTAAAATCCCTGTGGAGACAATTGGGCCCCAATGAAGTAGAACATCATGATCCAACATCCCTTGTGCTTGAACATTATGATCTAACTCCCACCTTGGCTCTTAAGATATTTGAGTCTGTGCCCCAGAGCCCCTAGATTAGATCATCCCACCCTATCTGGGGTGCAGGGTCTGTGCCTGGGTGCAGAGGTAAGGCAGCTTCAGGAGCCCAAACAGGTGTGGGAATCCCTCACTGCCTTTGATAAAAGACTTCTGTCAATGTTGGCAAAGCAATTCCTACCCCAATGGCTGGTCAGACCTTGTCCCAGTCCCCACAGCATCAAAGGCCAGCCCACACATCCTCAGAGGGGTTGGGAGACAGGTACACTGGCCTGGGATGCACATTTTCTGGGAAGAAATATTTGGAATGTGAGTGAAAACAGGAATTTAAAATTAGCTTGCCAAAGATCCTGACAGGCCACAAAGGCAGAGTGGAACAGGGTCCTGGAGTGTGCGTTCATTTTCACTCCTTAATAAGAACCACTTTGGTCCTCAATTTCCCCAGCACCTGTCCCAGCATTGCTATGAGGATAAAACTGAGTGAGCAGCAAACAAAATGCTTTGGGCCACCCCTGGCAAACTTACTATGCATTACTGTTAAGTGGAACCATATCCAAGAGTCTACATTCAACCTTTTGGCCTACAAAAATGGCAAGTCTACACAACCTCTATGTCACTACTGTTAACACCCTTAGGGACCTTTCAGCTTAGAAACCTGGACTTCTGAGTCTCATTCCCCTCCATCATAGTTATGGAGACAGACTAACTAGTTATACGGGACCTTGTCTAAGGCACTCAACCTCTCTGCACTACTGTTCCTTCACCTTTAAGATAAGGAGAAGAAACAGTTTCTACCTTACAAGGTGGTAACTGAGGAGTCAATAGGTTGGTATTTCTCAAGCATTCAGGTATTTCTCAAGCATTACTGCCTGCAATTCAGTAAAGCACAATGGTGACAAGTTAAAAATGGTTCTTAACGTATGGTTCAAGGGCCTGGTGCAGTGGCGTATCCTATATTCCTAGCAGCTTGGGAGGCTGAGGCAGGAGGATCATGAGTTCAAAGCCAGATTCATCAATTTAGTAAGGCACTAAGCAACTCAGTGAGACCTTGTCTCTAAATAAAATACAACACATGGCTTGGGATGTGGCTCAGGGGTCAAGTGCCCCTGAGTTCAATCCCCAATACTCCCCTCCACAAAAAGTATGGTTCAAAGACCCCAAAAGATTCCCAAAATTGTTTCAGGAGCTCTCAAGGTCAAAATTTTTCTTTAATTATCTAGCATTTGCCTTTTTAAGTTTTTCCTCTCAGAAATATAGAAAAGAGTTTTCCAAGGACTATATGATAGATGATGTCCTCACTCTAAAAAGATAAGAGTGTGTGTGCTCTACTCTAGGAAATATCAACAGACAAACCCCACATATACAAAAATTCCTTTTAAGGGTTAAAGGGTTCTAACCATAAAGTTCAAGAATTGCTGAGCCAACTCTTCAAAGTAACGCAGTCGGCACTTCCTCACATAGCCATTAGAGGGCACCAGAAAACCAGTTTAGGAGGCCATGCCATCCAAAGGACACAGGTAAAGGCCTCGTTCTGTACCCAGTCATTACAATACAACACAGGGAGACTAGGCATGTATAGAAAATTGAGACACACCTTACACCCTCCTCTCACCCACCAACCCTCTCCAGTTCCAGGCCAAGCACAGAGAGAGCACCTGCTAGCCCAGGTACCTGTGGGCAATAGACGGCTTGTGGCCCTCACCACGGCACCAGGGTACATCCTCGTGCAGGTACGAAAGGCCTCGTGACATCGTTTCTGCCACATGACACAGTTCGTTCCATGTGATGATGTTCCCCTTGAGGTAATCCGTGAGGGAGCCCTAAGTCAAGGAAGCACAAATCTTAGACACAGGCTCTAGGTGAATGGCAAGACCCAACCCAACCAACCCAACCCAGCCCAGCCCTAGGAGAGATGTCTTTGAAGGCCAATGGTTGGGCTCCTCTCCTGGGAGTCTATAATGAACAGGAAAGGCAAATGAGACCAGGATAGAAAGTCCAGGGGTAATCATTAAGTCACTACGCTTATTATAGATGTAACCTCAGGGTCAGAGGCTCTTATAGGGACAACCTGGTCCACACCTATGGCAGAATCACCTCATGGGAACCTTTCCATCGCGTATAGATTGACAGCATGGCCCACCTTGTCATGGAAGGCCGTGATGAGCCACAGCTCCACCTCAAGGTTGGAGCCTCGTTTCTCAGCAGCAATGAACTGCAGCAGGTTCTCATGCTTCATGCCAGGCGTGCTGAAGATCTCCCTTTCACTCTGCCACGACTGCTTGTCCTGGAGCATGGAGGCAGCTCAGTCAGGCTATAGCCACACAACCCCACAGCAAGGCGGTTGCACTTTCATCCATCCCCCTCCCACTAGCCTCTCAGTTTCAGCATCCATAAGGGGCCTAGGAGACCAGGACTGAGCCACACAACATCAGGCCAGCAGCAACCTCTTAGATCACTTAACATCAGCCATGATTTAAAAATGAAACCATTGCGGGTCCAGAGATGGGAAGCGAGTTGCCCCACATCACCCAACAAGTGAAAGGCACGCCAGGCCAGGCTTTGTTAAGTGTCCTAGGCAAATGCATGGGGTGGCCTGGTGTTCAGAGTTGCTGAGCAGAACATGACAGCAAACCCAGGGGCTGGGGCTGTAGCTCAGTGGCTGAGCGCTCACCTCACATGCGTGAGGCACTGACTGGGTTGGATCCTCAGCACCACACACAAAAATAAATAAGACAAAGATTGTGTCCATCTACAACTAAAAAAAAATTTTAAAAAAAGAACAAAAACCCATATACCATAGAAGATCAAGGTATAGCAAAGCCCTGCCCTGGTTCTTCAATGCAATTTAACTGCTAAATGCAGTCCCCATATAGCTGAGAGTAACATAAATGGCAACTTCAATGCAGCTATTTCTTACTCATCCCACCAGTGTCCAGGGTTTGGACTGCCCTTGCGTAGAAGAGTCTCAGCTCAGGCCACAATGAGGGAAGATGACTTGGAGCCCCCACTCACTCACCTGGAGTGGGAAGATCTTGACAGCCACAAAGTCATTCATGAGCTGGGCCTTCCAGACACAGCCAAAGCGGCCACGAGCCTTGATCTCCAACAGCTGCAGTGGCTTCAGACCCACCAGGGGGGATGGGGGTGGAGGCCCAGGGTCCTAGCAGAAAGCAAAGTCTTAACCAGTTCTGGCCTAGCCTCATGCCCCCTCCTCACGCCTGCCCCAAGACTGCACTGTCTTACCTCGTGGATGTCCACATGGCCATAGGGAGGCTTACGATGCCGATACATCCAGAAGGCCAGCAGGACGATGAGGGAGAGGCCCCCAATGGGCAGCAGCGAGTAGGCCAGCACCGTGAGCAGGGTAGGGGCTGTCGGGGGTGGCTCGTACGTGACTGGGGGACACACGGAGCCCTGCGTCACATAGCCCGCCCACTCCCACACCTTCACAGGGCCCTGCAGCCATTCCCCATCCAGCTCCAGAGCTGAGCACTCTGGGCCAAGGAGAGGCCCAAGTCTGCTAGGTCAGATGCCCTCTTCCCACTGGCCCCTCACCTTCTGGGCCCCCAGCCTCCGGCAAGTGGGTGAAGCGCTCGTTGCAGAAGTTGCCTTCGCAGCAGCAGAAGTACACCTGCGGGTTCTCCTCGGTGGCCACACACTCCTGCCTGAAAGCAGAGAGCTTTCCTTACACAGGCAGGGGATGCAAGACTCTCCCAGGCCTGCCCAGCCAAACCCCTCCCTATAAACAGAGCATCTTCTGGGCAACATCAGCAGGACAGGTGAAGCCATCCAAAGCTGGGGAGAGACCACTAGGAGTCAACACACCCTGAAACCCCTCCTCAGAGCTGGAGCAGGGCAAACACGGTTGCGGAAGAGCGTGGGAGCCTGCTTATCACCTGAAGAGCCCCTTTCTTGCTCAGTTATCCTGAGAGCCACAGGGCCAAGCGGGAAGTGCAAGTATAGGCAGGCTTCAGTAGAGGAAGGGCAAGCCTTGTGGTACCTGTCGTAGCAGTTGAAATCATCCAGCCAGCAGCCCTTCTTGACGAGCTCGATGGTGCCTGAGCTGTTGCGCCAGGAGGCGTAGCAGTGCAGCCTCTTGTCTTGCTCACCCTCACAGCGCTCCAAGCCACTCTGATTGGTGCGTTCCAGCTCCCAGTTGGCGTTGTAGTAGATGCACTCCCGTGTCTCAGCCTCCCCACGCCCTGAACCTGTGCCCAGAGAAGAGACACTGAGCATGCCCCACAGGGCTACTGTCCCAAACCACTCTACTGGGCACCATGCTCCCTCTGTATCCAACACCTCAGCTTACTGTGTGCCAGCCTGCACCATCCCCAGCTCACTTTTCCCACTATAGCTGCCCTAAGCCCAAGCAAGGGGGAAAGGAAGGAAACCTAATACCATGCAGGATGGACAAGCAGCCAGCCACTGGCACAAAAGGTGGCATTAATAGTGCCTGAAGCTGGGTGATGGCGGGCTGCTTCCCTGCAGTACCAGGATTAATGAAGAAGCCCTCAAAAGCCCCAGTGCAAAATCTCTATAAGTGCAGGGGTGGGGCTATAGTATTTAATAAAAACAAACACTCTCAGGCATAGTCCAGATCTATCCAATAGGAATAAGGGCAGGATCTCCATTTTTAACCTTCCTGTCTATCTCAGGAGATACTGATGCAAACCTTTAGGACTACATCTGGAGGAACTATAAGGAGAAGCGGCTTCCTACTGCCCCCTCTCTCCTTGGTCACCACGGTGCTCCGCCCCCAGATGAGCTGGAATGTCCTCCACAAGAGAACAAGGACCCTCCAGTGTCCCTTCTACACCCAGCATCCATACCTGGTGCTGCAGAATTCTGAAGATAATGAGGCCTGCACAGGTAAACCTCCCAGAATCACCAGCAGTGATATGTGCCTCTAGCAGGAGAAGAGCTGGCTAGTGGCTAAGTTGTAAACACAGATCAATCTCCCAGCTGGGCTTGGCCCCTGATGATGACCCCCAGGCAGGCATTCCACTCCTGAACTTCCTTCTATCTCCGGAAGAAATGCCACCCAGGTGGTCAACTGCTTTAACCTTCAACTGCCTTCAAATGCTTTCCTTTAAACATGGCATCAAACATTTACCAAATCCACCTTCTTTACTATCCCTACAAGATGACCCCCAGACCCAGTCCTAGCTTGTTCCCAATTCCCCCATGAACTCTTTTGCCCTGGGATGGAAAAGAATATGCAGATGGCAAAAGAGATTTTGCCTGGGAGTAGTCAGCTATGGCCCCTTCACCAGGCATCCACACGAAGGACTCACTGCCAGAACTCCATGAAGATATCTGAGAGGAAACCAGCAGTAAACAGTCACCAGTCTTTCCACACTCCTTGAGCCTACTGTGGGGCAGTGCCTATCAACACCCCTGGCTGGGCTCCCCGAGTCTCCCCCGACAACTGTGCCCACCATAGGAGGAGAAGGAGCCAAAGTCAATCCCAAAAAACCACCAGCCAGCCCATGCGCAGCCTGACTTCACTGACAGCAGGAAAGGCAGGCAAGGAGAAGGAAGCCCACCTGATCCTGGGGAAGGCAGTGCCCTGAGTTCTAGCACAGCCCACGGCTTGATTCCCAAGGCCTATTCATCGAGGAGAATACTGACTGGTAGAGGGAGGAGCCCCTCTACCACAAGGAGGAACACACTCTGCTCAGACTCACCCTTGCTCTACCTCCCTGCAGTGATAAAAGGTCCTTCCAGGGGGGCCTGGCCAAGGCCAAGCATCAAATTCCAAGGCTCCAGGTAGGACCAAATCATCCAGGTAGGTTCAAATTATCACCCAACTAGAATGAAAACATCCAACCATAGCTCTGGCCATCCAAGGCCATGTGGCCTAGACCCTGACACTTGTAAAAGGAAAAAGTGGCCTTGTGACAAGCCAAGCAGCTGGGACTCAGCCTGGCCCTCAAAAAAGGGCCTCAGGGTCTACATGGGTACTCACACAGGGGCGTACACTGACTTCCCCCAGTCAGACCCTTCCTCAAATACAGGCTTATAGTGTAGGGGGAGAAGCTGAGGGGATCCAATGCAGGTAGGAGCCAAAGACTGAGCAAGTACAAGGGCCCCTGCCCACTCGCAACAACATCCAGTAGCTTAGCTATGCAAAGCCCCTAGTCCACACAGTGCATGCCAACTCTCCCCAACCTGAGGCCCCACTGCCTCCACAACAGCAATTCTAGCGGGGGAAGACTTGAGACTTGCGGGAAAGCCTCCAAGTTGGGCTGCAGACAGAGGAGATATGCACTCCCTCATCTACTTCCCTCTCTGCAGCCATACCTCACTGCCAGGTTCTTGAATGTGCTGGGCTTCTAGGCTTAGTACCCATTACCACCTCTGGCTGTAAGATGTTCCCCACTTTATCCCTAGGATTTCAGCCTGCCTCTCCCCTAAAACCAGGCACACTCTACTTCCACTGGCCTTATATTTCCTCTAGCACCTAATTTACCACCCTTGGTTAATCACCTGTTCTTATTTAAAGGACTATTTCAGACACCCAAAAACTGTATGCTTAACATAACCAAAAATAATTCCCAAGAAGAAATAACAATATTAACATAATGAACACTTGCATAAGAAATAAAATATTACAAATGTGCTCAACAGTTGCATTACAAATGCCAGCTTCCACATAGAGACAAACCCATATAAATACAGCTATCTCATACTAGACAAAGGCAACATAAACATACATTGGAGAAAAGATGGCCTAGACAACAAATGGTGCTGGGAAAACTGGAAATCCGTATGTAGCAAAATGAAATTAAACCTGTACCTCTCACCCTACACAAAAATCAACTCAAAATAGGCACTAGAACACAGACACTACGCCTAATAGAAAAAAAAAAAAGCAGGCCCAAATCTTCATCATGTCGCCTTAGGACCTAACTTCCTTAACAAGACTCCTAAAGCACAAGAAGTAAAATTAAGAATCAATAAATGGGGTGGATTCAAACTAAAATGTTTTCTTCCTAGCAAAGGAAATAAACAATAACGTGAAGAACCTACAGAATTGGAAGAAATCTTTACCACACACACATGAGACAGAGCACTAATCTCCAGGATATATAAAGAACTCAAAAAACTTAACACCAAAAAAAACAAATAACCCAAACAATAAATGGGCTAAGGAACTGAACGGACACTTCACAGAAGAAATATAATTGATCAAAAAACATATGGAAAAATGTTCATTATCTCTAGCAATTAGAGAAATGCAAATCAAAACTACTACTCTAAGATTTTATCTCACTCCAGTCAGAATGGCAATTATCAAAAATACAAACAATAATAAGTGTTGGAGAGGATGTGGGGGAGAAAGGCACACTCATACATTGCTGGTGGGACTGCAAATTGGTGCAACCACTCTGGAAAGCAGTTTGAAGATTGGGTCAGAAAACGTGGAATAGAACCATCATTTGATCCAGCTATCCCACCCTCAGTTAATACCCAAAAGACTGAAAATCAGCATACTACAGAGATGCAGACATACCAAGGTTTATAGCAGCTCAATTCATAATAGCTAAACGGTGGAATCAACCTAGATGCCCTTCAACAGATGAATGGATAAAGAAAATGTGGTATATACACACAATGGAATGTTACTCAGCCTCAAAGAAAAATGAAATTATGGCATTTGCAGGTAAATGAATAGAACTACAGAACATCATGTTAAGTGAAATAAGCCAATCCCAAAAAAATCAAAGGCCAAATGTTTTTTCTCATAAATGGATGCTTATTCATCGTGGAGAGGGGGTGGGTAAGAAAGAATGAAGGAACTTTGGATTGTGCAGAGGAGAGTGAGAGGAGGAGTGGGGCTGAGGGGATGGGAAGGACAATAGAATGAGACAGACATTACTACCCTACATATATGTATGATTGCACTACTGGTGTGACTATGCACCACATAAAGTCAGAGGAATGAGAAGTTGTGCTTCATTTGTGTACAATGTGTCAAAATGCAAAAAATGCAATGTGTCAAAATATGTATGTGATATATATCTAAATAGGACAAATTAAAAAAAAATAGAAGGGAGACCAGTAGAAAAGAAGAAGGGGATCAGGGGAAAAGAGGAGAGGGAAAGGGGAGCTAACTGGGGAGTAAAATTGAACAAATTATACTGTTTTATTGTATGCACATATGAATATAATAACAAATCCCACTGTTATGTATAATTATAACGCATCAATAAAAGGGGGGGGAAATGCCAGCTTCCTCTACAAGACACATGAAAACAGGACCCTTGCCCATCTTGAGTATTAGAACCAGTTCCAGACATATAGATGGATGGATGGATACATGGAAAGAAAGAAGGGTGTAGGATGTGTGGCTAGAGCAAGACTTCAAAAGAAGGGGACAAGAAAGAAGGATAGTTTTAGCCTGAAGCCCCTACATTTTTTATTTTTCTTGCTAGAAATGAGAATCAAACCCAGAGCCTCATACATGTTAGGCAAGGGTTCTACCACTAATCTACACTCCTAGAGCAAGAATTTGGTCAACAAACAACAAGCTCCCTGTTCAGTGTTAGGAGTTCCAACAAAGGAGACCAACAGAGAGTGGCCTAAGGCTGGCCCAGTTCCTCTCACCAAGCCATCATCAGGCAAGGACCCCTCTGGCCACTACCATGGGCAGAACCCAAGTGGAAAGGGCTGGGAGCTCCAAATCAAGCTCCAGGAAGGACCCAAAGTTTAAAGATGTCACCTGAGCCCCATATGACCAGATCCTCCCACAAGCAATCCAACAAAATAACAGCCTTGAGCCGCCAGACTTTAAATCCTGCTTTGACACTTCACCACTGTGTGCCTTGGGCACTTTACAGAATCAGTTACTCTTTGAGAGGGGTTCATAATAAATCCTAGGGTTGTCACAAAAAATAAATGACCACATTTCAAGAGTGGTCAGAAAGGGCCTGGCATTCCACTCATTGTATCAGAGCCATACCCTTCGTTGTTGCCTGTAATAATCCCTTACAGCCAATTCCCCTCAAGCCCCCAGCCCATCAAGTCATACTAGACCCATGAGAGCTTTGTTCTCAGAGCTGAAGTGACATTCCATGCCCCTCCCACCCCACACCCAGGCTTTGCTGCCAGCTGGAGATCCAGAGGTCTCCAAGCTTCCTGGCCTCTCCCAGGCTCTGTTTCTTTACACACTTAGCTATTTATAGCCTCTGGCAATACTCCAACCACACACCTCTGCTTTTGAATAGATGAAG